ATATATATATAAATTGTTCATAAAATACATCTTTCTGCTAGTCTGTACCAATTATTAAAAGTAGCATATATTAACATTTAATTAAATCTAAAGGCATAGACATATAAACATCTTCAAGCATCACTAAAACTCTCTTGGGACTGTTTAATATTTGAATTTAGGCATTTGTGAGCTTAGCTATGACCTATATTTGCAGACCTCAAGGTAACAGCAGCAGACTATAGGGTGGCGCAGGTATTATCATGCCAGAGTCACACCTGGCTCCTGTCTCACCGACATCATGGCTGGTGAGTCCATACTAAATGGTTTAGTTTGGATGGATGCATGCACACATAGATCCTCAGAGGCATGGACGAAGGGAGGGAGGGAAGGAAGAAGTGCCACTGAAGAGAAAATCTTGATAGAATCATTCCATTAAAGGAGAAGAAGAAGAAATTCTTTTGGTCCAAACTTCAGTATCTAAGTTTGTGTACATAAGTATTCTCCGTAGTGCTCCTTAATTCTCCTCTCTACTCCAGCATGTATCTGATTAAATGGGGAGAGTGATGATTCATTCTTTCCTTATATTCTTACTGTATAGGCCCTGAGCACATCAAATTCTCCATGCAGGAAGGAAGAGGTACTGTGAGTTACGACAGTTAGTCTATGCTATCTGCTACCCGGAAGTTCCATGTACTAAAGTATTAGTATAGAAAATTTAAGCATTTAGGTTGTGCAAACATTTTTGTCCACAACATTTTGAAATCAAATCTCAGTATTTAAGATTTGGTCTCGGTGCATTTTCAAGAAGAAGAGTCCTCAAGCAATCCAAAAGCCAAACTTTCATCTCAACGGCTGGGAAACTGAAGCCTGAGAGATCGGGCCCCTCCTTTAAAATCACCAAACAACTGTGTAACCAAGTGGGTTTATGCCACGCTAATGCCCCAATATACCACTTCACTGTTGAGGGCTTTGCCCACTAATTTTGGAGTATACTTGTGAACACTCTCTCCATATTACATGTGGAGCATTTAAAAACAAACAGGAATGACCCCCAAAATCAAAGAGGCAGGAGGACTTGAGTGGGTGATGAAATATTATGGTTAAAACTGTAACTGAATCCCAAGTGGTTTTTTTAAAATGCATCAAAGGTCATTGATGAAGTCAGAAAAAAATTAAGCTCTCGTTAAAGATAAAAATGTCAATTTAAGAGTTGTAGTCTTTGATGCTAAAATCAATTTAATAGCAAAATACCATCCATGTTCCACTTCCACCAAAAAGGAATAAAAAATGGAAAGATCAGATGATTATGACCTTATTTCAAGAATATCAGAGGGGTCCTGGCTGGACTAGTAAAGTTTCAATTTTAACAATACTCGCTACTATCTGGAGCTAGGAGACATGAGTGTGGACAGGAAGGTCATAGATCCTGACTCGCTGAAATGGGGTTACATTTACAGTTAGCATCTTCCACACATCATAAATGATTGAAATGCCACTTTCCAAAATTAAATAAATCATAATACTTGATACTTCAAGGGTAAAGCTTGAATTCTCTTCAAATTTGTATTAACCAGAACACTTCACTAAATTTTCCAGCTAACTGAAAAAAAGGACCAAATTCTTAAACATTGAAGCCTGTGCAATTTTCACATAAATTTATCAGTGTAACATCAAGAGCAAAATGCTTAGCTTAAAGCATCTTGAAAACACAAACATAACTAAAAGTAAAAACATGCATCAATAATATGTTTCCCTGACTGCAGCATGCATTGCTGCATACCAATAATTTGTATATTTGGGTAGAAGGTATCATTGTACAAGCAACATTTATAAAATGGATTTGTCCATAAAATTAAACAATGGGGACAATCACAGAGGCCTGCAGACATTGGGAACTCTCCTTGGGAATGAGGGGGATCTGTATAAAACTACACCTGGCTGAGAATATGGTTTTAGACACTGGGAACACAAAGATGAATGAAACTTTGTTCTTGCCTTGAGAAGCAGATGTTTGTGTGAGATTAGCCATTCTATAAACACACAATTACAATATGCCAAAATAATGACCATCGAGGGCCAGGGATTTAGCTCAGCGGTTTGGTGGCCTGCCTTGCAAGAGCAAGGACCCGAGTTCAATCCCCGGTACCAAAAAAATAATAATAATAATGACCATCAATTAAGAAATTATGACACACCAGGAACTTTAAATTGACTGTTTAATCCCCAACACTATAATAAGCAATAAGAATAACAAGCAATAGAAATAATGTTACCAATGGAAAGTTGTGATTTGAAAATAAAGTAGCTTCCCCAATATGCATGCATGAGGGTGTATAACAGACAGGAAAGGGAAAAGCAACTCAATGCTTGATGAAGAGAAGCATGCTTCACTCAGAAACAACAGGGGCAGAGTGCATGGGCTTTGAGGGGGGACATGTGTATAGTGTGGCTGCAGCTCAGTGTGGCATGACCTGGAGCTTCTGCCCCCTTATTGCACCGTTAGTGACACACCAGTGTCTTCTCACTGTATACCCTTAGTGAACACCAGCAACACACCCAAGCCACGCCCAGGCAGAATGAAGTGCATTTTCTCCCAATGTCCAGACCCTTATTTAGAAATATGAGATTTTATATATATAGTTTATGCCACGCTAATGCCCCAATATACCACTTCACTGTTGAGGGCTTTGCCCACTAATTTTGGAGTATACTTGTGAACACTCTCTCCATATTACATGTGGAGCATTTAAAAACAAACAGGAATGACCCCCAAAATCAAAGAGGCAGGAGGACTTGAGTGGGTGATGAAATATTATGGTTAAAACTGTAACTGAATCCCAAATGGTTTTTTTAAAATGCATCAAAGGTCATTGATGAAGTCAGAAAAAAATTAAGCTCTCGTTAAAGATAAAAATGTCAATTTAAGAATTGTAGTCTTCATTCGAGAGATGCAGATGAAAACAACACTGAGATTCCACCTCACCCCACAAAGAATGGCTGCTATCAAGAAATCACACAATAACAAATGTTGGCGGGGTTGTGGGGAGAAAGGAACCCTCCTCCATTGTTGGTGGGA